TCAAACTGGTCAACACAGCCTTCATGTCATTTTCTCAGTTATTGCTTTAAAACGTTCACATTCTACTCTTAGAAAGATTCACCTGTACCCCTATATATTTTTTTTTTAACTGAACCTTCAAATCTAGAAATGAGTTAGGCCATCACTTCCATTTTTGGAAAATTATCTCAAACTAGGAAAATGAACCAGAATGCTCTTGCCATATGGCTTTCCAAAGACACGACTTCACAAAGAAAAGCAAAGAGAAGCGTATGTTTGTGAATACCTAAGGCACAATGCCAGTAAAAAAAGCCAAGTCTATAGTTATGATTGCTAATTTTGACAAATTTACACACAATTCAATGCTTTATTTGTATTGACTATCTCTGGGGAAGATGATAATATGTCTTTTTTGGGGGGAGAGGGACAGAGTCTTGCTCTGTTGTACAGACTAGAGTACCATGGCATCAGCCTAGCTTCCGGCATCCTCAAACTCCTGTGCTCAAGTGATCCTTTTGCCTCAGCCTCCCAAGTAGCTGGGACTACAGGTGCCTGCCATGATGCCTAGCTAAGTTTTTCAATTTTCAGTCGAGATGGGATTGCACTCTTGCTCAGGCTGATCTTGAACTCCTGAGCTCAAGGGATCTCCCCTAGTTCAGTCTCCCAGGGTGCTAAGATTATGATGCACTGAGCCCAACCAATATGTGCATTTTTAACTTTCTTAGCAGAGAGCAATTCCTAGTGAAAAATAAAATGAATGAGCTTAATTTGTTCACCACTGCAAAACATATCTACATTAGTTTAGATTTTAAAAAGTCCAAAGTTAACACTATAATAGCACTGTCTATAGTTGTTATTACTAATTTGGGCAAATTTATCATAAACTTCCAAAAATATTTCTAGCAGGGTATTGTGGTGGGCACCTGTAGTCCCAGCTACTTGGGAGGATGAGGCAAGAGAATTGCTTAAGCCCAAGAGTTGGAGGTTGCTGTGAGCTGTGATGCCATGGCTGTGACCCAGGGCCACATACTGAGACTCTGTTTCAAAAAAAAAAAAAAAAAATCTCAATATCTAACAAATCATTTCATGAGTACCCAGTCTAAAAACTTTTTAATCATATGAAAATTCTCCTGATACCATAAATAAATTTAACTAGGTATATGGTACAGGTTGAGTAACCCGTATCCAGGGTTGGGACCAGAAGTGTTTCAGATTCCAGGTTTTGAAATATTCACATTCTACTCATCAGTTTAGTATTCCCTAATCTGAAAATGCAAAATCCTCATCAGGGGTCCTCAAACTTTTTAAACAGGGGGCCAGTTTGCTGTCCCTCAGACCGTTGGAGGGCTGGACTGCAGGCCCCGGGATGAGTCGGCTGCTAAGCAGGACAGGCAGTGGCAGCAAAAACACCCAGTGGGCCGGATAA